GGGAACCCCAGAGGCCAGGCCCGGGCCGGCTGAGGGGGAGGAAAGGCCCGTGGAAGGAAGAGGGCGGAGACTTCAGAAATGGCGAACCAACGGTGAAAACTCGTTCCTCGCACACCGAGCGAATGATGGACTCGCAGCACCCAATCAAAACAAAAGTAGTCTAGCAGAAAGCCATGAGTTCATATCAGTTCTGCATCACTTCAAGTTGCTGTGTTGGCCAAAGAGAAGGCCCAGTCCTTTGCACATTCACATACCAAGCGCCAAGACCGCGCATGAGATCTCCACGGCTGATTGTATCCGAACCACTTAGAAGCAGGGCCTCAGCATCATTCTTGCTGCCATTTCATGCCACCAAACATCAGAGGATCCCCTCCAATTGACCAGGAATCTTTTGAGAGTTCGAACCTTCTAAAGTGCGTGTTTGGGTCTGTCTGCCACAGTCGTTCGACCTCCCCCCTCGCGCCTCGTGGACCACGGCATCGACCTGCCACGCTCGGATGCCCGGCACCGCCCCCGGCGGCGCCCGGGTGGCGCACTTCGACGCACCCTTGGGCGGGGCGGGTGGCGCACCTCCTCGTCGAGGACGGGCAACTGACCATTGAGCTGCTCCATCAAACGCTTCAGCTCCCGAAGATCCACGCCCTGGGGCCCCATGGGTGCTTGAGATAACATAACGGGATCAGAGCGGGTGTTTTTCTGGGGGTTCGTGTATTTTAAGAGGGTCCATCCCTTGGGGGTTCATGGGTAGACTGGAAGAACTGTTGCTCTCCCTTTCGCTTTTTTCACCCATAGACACCCCACACATAGTCATCCCGAAAGAGAGCCAGAGATCCTGTTTCACCCCGCCTAAGCCCCAAAAGGGGTCAACCGGACCATTTTGCTTGGATTCAATGGATGTTAGGCCATATGTTGCACTTACAAACGCCTCCTTGATTTCACCGCAATTTGTGGATCCACCGAGTCATTTGGAACCAAGGTGATGTTGAAACCCTCGGAGATCCTACGTTCCATATGTTTATTGAATTGGTCAGATGGTCTGCTGCAAAGCATCATACTCATCAGGGAATGTCCCACAAGTTGGTTCCAATTCTTCGGATGCCCTTGAGGTCCAACTTTGCTTCCAAACACCGCTGTAAATGCCCCAATTGTGCACAGCTGGTGACAGAAGTCATGGCTACTCAAGTCATCCATCGAATCGCTTTCAACCATGACACCCTTTCCAAGGAATCAAACATATTCAAAAATATAGACATCGCGTCTAGGTTGGAGGCCATCGTTTCTAGGTTGGAGGCCATCGCTTCAAGAATAACTTATCACCTGAGAGAGCTCCAAGGTTTACAGCTCGGAGCATTCTGTTGGCAGTCCTGGACAAAGTTGGCATCCGCTCCATTCTTGTCGGCACGCACTTTGAGCAAGGCCATCCTGTAACGAAAACCGGCTCTTCCACACTGAAGAATCATAAGAGCCAAGGAAAATGGGAGAGATGAACGGTTACTGTAGCTTTGGATGGTGGTTGAGATATCTGGTTGGCTGGATCTTGGTTTACGCTGGAGCTTGGAGATGTTGGATGATGATGTGCCTGAGCAATCTTCACAAGTGCTGAACAGCCAAATGTCCCAAAGACTCAGAGCTCGACAGCTGCAGTTCGGGGAAGGACCTGAACTTCGACATCTGAGCCAACTGAAAACCTGAGGTATCCGAGGTCATGGCAGGGACTGGAATCCATGGCGAGCCTCGGATGCTGAGAAAGAGGTCCTCCATGTTCACGTGGCGCTGACGGTTTTTCCCCCCAAAAGACATCCCAAGCTTCCAAGTGCATTGCTACGCAGCTAGCAAGTGCATCGCTACTATATAGTCGCAAGGACGCTACTAGTAGCGATGCACTTGCTAGCTGCGTAGCTTAAAGGATGGTAATAGCTTCTTGTTACTACTAGTAAGGCACTTGTTACTACTAGCGTGGCACTTGTTACTACTAGCACGCAGCACGTGTAAGATGTCCCCGAGGCTCCGGACCAAGAGCGCATATCTCAAGCAGGAGGGTCTCAACAATGCTGGACCTGGCACCCGCTTCAAGTCACCAAATCATTCAGAGTGCAGAGCGTTAGTACAAAAGAATACAAGAACATACAAAACATCTGACACAGTGACATAGTGCTTTTCAAGAAAGAACATCTGGAAATGTGTGAGAAAAGATCCTCCAACTCTACAAATCTGAGGCTTCAACAACTTCGTAATGCGGAGTTTGTTTGGAAGAATCTGCAAATACTGATGCTTCGTGTTTCCTGTGATCCTCCGAAAGCTCTCAGATGATAGGCAACCCTGGAAATGTGATATACATAACTACCACTCCCCAGCATCAATGTATGCATACAGGTGTAGACAGTCTGTAGACAATGTGTAGACTTGGTTTTATCGATACTGATACTACCATACCAATTCCATCCAATTCAATCTCTTCTTCAATCTTCCCATCATCCCAAAAAATCCACCCCAACAAACATGTCAAGCTGGGGCTTTTCTCTTTACGTCAGCGAACATATCCCATTACGAAAAACCAGACATCTCAGGGGGCTGCTTTGGCCCGGTACCAGGCCAGCAGGCCACCGAGCCACCGACCACCCCGGCCAAAGAACGGCACCTTCTTGCTTCCGGAGCGCCAGGCGAAGAACCCAAGCCACTTCGCTGTTGTCCAATTCTCGGCCCTCCACGTCTCGGATCAACGTCTGAAGATCCTCAGCCAAACGTCTGGAAACACCGGGGGCGCACGGGGATGTAAACGACTGAGCGCAGGTGGTTCATCAAGTTCATCAGGTTGCTTGACCTACAAGTCCTGCGCGTCCTTGCAAGAGCTCTGGGGCACCACGCTCGCAACTGCACGCGAAAGCTCCCGCGGCCCCACCCATTGAGGGCTGGGGAGTCGTCGCTGAGCAGCTGCCCAATATCTCACCAAGGTGATCAGAGTCAGAAGAAACAAGTCTATGAGGTCTATGTCGATCTACAAGGATCTACCAGGTTTGGCAAAGGTTCACCCACAAACTCTCAACACCCCCACCAACCACTTCGCCGCGGCGTTCCGCCGGGGGCCTTCCACCGAGGGATCACTGAAATCCCGCTGGGCGAGAGCATCGCCGAAGAGCAACTCCTCCGGCGCGATTCTGCGTGGGTGTCGGCTCCAGGGTGTTGGACCCAGATCCAAAAACGGACACCATTTGGATCAGCACCATTTTTTCGAACGTTCCAGACCAAACGTCCTTAGCACCTTCCCGTTGGAAGACACCCCCCGCGCACCTGCATGTTGAAGGCGTCCCGCGCCCGCTGCCGCCGCTCGCCGGCCCGGTGGTGTGGCACCGGACTGGGAGGCCACGGCCTCGGGCGACGCGGACTGAGCGTCGGACGGCGCCGAAGGCCGGTGCGGACGGCCTGGGGTCCGAGCCACGAGCGTCCATTCAAGGGATTCAAGTGGGGAAGCACCACTGCGCTGGAGGAGGAGCCACCCACTTGCAGATGGCCTCAAAAAAAGGCGTTCAAAGGACGCGTGGCAAAGTCCTAGGAGTGAACTTCTCTAGCAAAAATGGTCCACTAACAATAAGTATTTTGACACTCAAGAGACCAAAAGGGTCTTAAAGGTGACGTACTTTTGCAGATTCATTCCTCATCTCCCGGCTGTTCTCCAGGCCTTCAGTGCTCTGTGGAACTGCAGGAACAGCAGCGGGTCTCGTGACCGAGACCGGAGGCGCCGCGGCGATCGTTGCCACGGCTGGGCCGGGATCATCGAAACGCCTCACATCCTGGAGGATGCGAGAAAACGAAGAACAATGCAATTGGATCCAAGGCATCCAAGAACCCTGCTGTATTAGGTGGAGGCCATCGCAAGGTAGCTTGGAGGCCATCGCTACGAACGGAACAAGAAGCTATCCAATTGGCATCTACCAAGTCGAGTCGAGATGCATGTGGAGCTGCCTGGCTAGGATAGATGCCCTCTGATACTCGAACCATCTCAAACTCGTTGCTCCGCCACGCTGCCCGAATCCTATGGTATCCTACGGTCCTCCGCCAGCATGGATGTGCCCTCTGCCTCAAGTGCTTTCGGGTGACACACGCAGATCAAATGGTGGCACAGGAAGACACGAGGATTGAGGCTTCCTGTTGGCCAACCCAACTCCTTTGGACTTCCCACCCACTCAAGTAGAAGTAGGTCAATGCAAACCGGCATCACAGCTACGGCTGGTCTTCACGAAAAAGCCTTGCCTAAATGCCCCTGTCAACCCTGGGGCCCAAACATTTTTCTTCATCAGAAATCCTTTTCCTGCATCCGACCAAGGCCAGAACAGTGCTGTCAGCACCCTCAGCACCAGCCATGCTCTCAGGAGCTCCACACTGGTCCTCCCGCCCACGCACAGGCAAAGGGAGAACCCCCTGGCCCCTGTTTCTTCAAGGGACATTACTGAAGTTGGTTGCGCTTTCTTCTGGAAGACCAAAAGTCTGCATGCCGAGTTCTGTCCTGTGGATCAAGCACACACACGCAGCTATACCTCTACTTGCAGAAGAGACTAAAACAAAAAAAGAACTCCTCCTTTACTGCTCTGGGTTGGCCAATGTGTCAGTAGAAACAATCTCTTTTGCTCCTTAAAGCAAAGAAGCTGAGTCTGCCACGAACCCAGTCTCAAGGAAATGAATGGCAACGGCATGAAGATGCAGAATCGGCGCGTGATAAACAAAAATGCTCATATATATTTATCTTGATTGTTCCTAATCTGCAGTAGAATTGAAAATAGATACAGTAACCTTAACTAGATCTGTTTCAGCTTGGTTTGAGTTCTCAATGTCTTGACGTGCCTGTCAGCCTTCGGTTGGCCAACAAGAGCACTGTACTCCTCATCTGATCTCCCATATTTGTGCTTGGTTTGAACGAAAACGCCCGAGCCAATCAATTCCATTGGTCAAACTCCAAGCTGTCGCTTTGGGCAAAGTGACGCATTCCGAAGCTGGTCCCTCATGGAACGGAGCAGTAGGATCCGCACCTCCACCCGCTTGAGCTCCTGTGGCGGTCAGGCGGGCTCCGTTCCGTTCCCGTTCGGCGGCTTCGACGCATCCGTACCGTAGAGGCTGTGGGCGGTCCTGGTCCGTCTGCACATACAGATGTGCAAGCTGAGGGACTGAGCTCAATGGCACACCGCCCTGCGGAGACCAACACCTCACGACAGAGAAGTCCACCCAGGAGGCCCAACCCGGTCAACAGGGCACATCCCGTTCTGGTTCGGCCGAGTCACTTCTTGTTGTCCGCATAGTTCTTGGCAGATTGGTACAGCGACCGGGCAAAGACCAGCGTGGACCCTGCGATCACGGTCCTCGTCAGGAGGGGCGTGAGTGCTCGCTGGAGGCCCAGGCCAGGGGTCGGCGCCATTTCAACATCATTTTTATATGTATATACAAAATTATAGCTTATCACAAACAAAGCTTTTTGCTCGAAAGGCTCTAGCAACCTGCTGGATCTGGGTCGCCATCGATGCGAATTCACCAACACTCTCCCTGACCCGTGTGCTTGAAGTCTCTTTTCGTATTATTCGGCCACTCTTTGTTGGCTGTGCCATCCAAAATCAGCCACACTGGTAGACCAACATAGTCAATGAACACCCTACTTGGCCAAAGATTCAATGATGTCAAGTTGTACCAGTCGAATATCTTGAACAAAATAGCTTCTCTCCCGGCCCACTGGGCAACCGCCTCAGTCTCTCTCCTTCCACCCGCCCGCCCGAACGCCGGATCCGAGCAAACACTGCCAGCCCGCCCGCCTCCCGGTGTAGAGTCGTTGGCCGATCATGTCCATGTTGCTCACACCCTTCCTCGGAACAGGACTCCGGACTCCGGACTCTGAAGCCTTTTTGGCTGAACGCTTTGAGTGTTACTCCACTCACAGTAACTGGTGCAGCCCAGCAGCACAATCAGCACAAGCAACAGAACTTCATCACATCGCTGGAACATGCAACCCTCTGAATTTGGGGAGTGACATGCAGGAACGAACAAACACATTCTGGATCACCCAGGGTAGCCAATCAACCAGAGCGCTCACGCTCAACCGCTCACGCGCAACCGCCCCTCTTGTGGCTCTAAGCGGCTGCTTTTGGACCTGAACGATCGCTGCCGATGCCGCAGAAGCGGCAGGGGTACTTCAAAGGAATGGTCACGGAGGTGTGTTTTTCAACACTGGGTTCTTACCAAAAGGTAACTATCTATTCCTTTTGCTTGATGGCTTCTGCTCTGAAACCTCCCCAATTTCCAGTTACCCCCTAAACTACCCAAAATTTTGACCATCTCCCATCGGTACCATCTTCCATCTCTGGGAGCATCTCAGGTTCTGGCATATTCTCCGCCTTCGATTCCGGCATACTTGTCGAGGAGTGATTCTTTGGGCAACCAAACCTCACGCAGAATGAGACATTTGCAGGCAGCCCATGGCTGCACGAATGCAAACAACCTGGCTGAAAGCTATCTCGGCATTGTCCAGGTCGTTTCCGATGGTCTTGTCACCCATGTCCTGCTGAAAAGGTTTGCTAAGACTTCTCTCAGGATTTCTCTTCTTGCAACCTCTGTCCTTCGCAACAACTCCAGACACCAACTCCCCATTCTGCCTTCACCGCTGCGCGGAGCGCGGAGCGCTGAGCGAAAAACATGCTCCAAATTGTGCCACCAAAGCTTGGCCACCACACCTGATCTTCATCAAGAAGCCGTGAGGGCCTTTGGGCTTGCCTCGCTTCAGTTGCGACTTCAAGCGACTTCGTCCGCCCTCCCGGCCCCACATGGTCCTGGGCCCCCAGAAGCAGTTTCAACCAGCCCCTAGGAGACGGCCTTGCCTTTGACAATGAGGTTCGCAATCACCACCGCCATATCCTCACACGTCTGCAGCTTCTAGTCGGTCAGTTGTTCCAGTCGTGAACTCAGCCACCGGCTGCAGAGAGGCCCTGGGAGATCCAGTTCTTGTAGGCGCCATCGTTTGGGCAGTCCAACAGGAACATCTGCCTCCGCCGTCGGCGACGGCCGCAGAGACATCGATGGCGATGGTTCATTTAAGTGGCCGGCTTGCTCTCATCCCATGTGCACGTGGTGTTCACTACCAGCCCACTGTTCACACCTCAGCGCAAAATTCGACAGTGCTACCAACCCCGTCTTGTTGAGACCACACCCATGTCTGTTCGATTCCTGCGTGATCCCCTGCGAATCTAGTGCGCCTGCAAGCTTCTCAGTTAAGCAGAAGCAGCCCAGCTGGCCTTGCGCCTGAAACATCTGCAATTGATGCGCTGAAGTGAGAAAACACTGTTTCAACCCGGTTTGGTTAGGACACTGCTTTGGGCATCTTCTGGCAGCTGCTTCCCCGCCTGCCACTCGCTCAGCAAAGCCACCTGCGTTCTTTGGTGAGGGGAGTGTCTGCTGGCTCAGGTCATGCAGCAGCAAGAAATGTTGCTGCTTGTGAACGAAAGGGACACAAAATAACATATGGAGACAAACTGAACACCACTCACTCACTGCATGCCACTTGGTGCATGCCTTGGAGGCCAGGAATGCCACTTTACACCGGTGCCCCTGTTTGCCCGAGAACCCCTACCCTTCAGCCCGGGCCTGCTGGCTGTTGCCCAGGGCAATGACGGTTCCAGCAAACAAGTTAAATTGGACCTGAGGAAGAAGTTAAAATAAACGTCTGTCAAAGGTCACCAGCCTGCTAGAACCCGCACACTTATCCAAATCAGGTTCTTGGGCCCTGAGGCCTGTCGTGACATCACAAGGCGAATCTGAGGAAGTCATCTGAGAAGAAGGCTGTAAACCGAATGCCAAAACCAGGACCGACCTCGGAGGCATCAGAAAACCAACAACAGCAACAACAACAACAACACCAGCAACAGCAACAGCAACAGCAACAGCAACAGCAGCAACAGCAACAGCAACAACAACAACAACAACAACAACACGGCACAAACAAAAACTGCAGCCCCGTCAACACTCATTTTCTTACTTTCTATGCCCCGTCCAAAGCAAGAAGCCAATACTGCTGCTCCTGCTCCTGCTACTGCTACTGCTACTGCTACTGCTACTGCTACCCTGCTACTGCTAATGCTACTCCTACTACTACTACTACTGCTACTACTACTACTACTACTACTACTACCACTACGACTACTACTACTACTACTACTACTACGACTAGAGCCCCGCGCTTGTTTTTGCACCAACAAGTCTAGCTACTTATTCCCTCAAACTTTCAACAACAACAACAACAACAAGCAAAGCTACACCAGCTTCTCACATCTGCTTCCGCAAATTCTCATGAGACACTCAAGCCATTAGTAACCATTTTCGATGTAGCCGGCGGCCCCAAAAAGATCGATCGAACATAGAATCCCATACCGCAGGTGCATTTCCACTGCTGACCAGCTACTCTCGTCGCATACTCTGAGAGCAACCGGTGGGCCGCAAAGAAGTTCTCGGGCGCTTCCCGCAGATCCTCGCCACGGAGCGGCGTGCTGGGATGCTCGGCGATAGGGAAGCGCACGACCAGCACAGTTACAGCAGGTTACCACATACAAGCATCCCAAACAGTATCGCCCTCAATACGGGGAGCAAGAAAACAACAGATCACAAACTCGCTCGTCGCTTGACTCACAAACGGTAATTCCCAACTTTTTGCCTGCCAAAAGTATTATCCATTACTGGGCAGTCTATCCCTGGCATCTGCAAAAAAGCTAGCTCCTTGGGTTAACCCTCCCATCCACGAGTGACGTTTCCACCCATCGGTCCGTCAGTTTCAACGGCCCCTCTCTGAGCAGCTTCCGCAACCTCAGTCAGCTCGCTGGGCCTCTTCAAAAACGAAACAAACATCACCTTAGAACTTCTTCTATGGTTCCCAAACATCCAGCGCTTTGACGAAGAACCATGAAACTTGAGCGGGGAAACACGAAAGGTAGAGATGGACCGAGTAGCTATCAGGACCTTTTCTGGTGAGGGACTGTCTCCGGTGTTTCAGGAACGTTGGATGAAACCAACAAAGCCAGAGAGCACAAGAAGGCATAAGAAGGCTCAAGAGGAACACCGTTGCGGTCAGATTGCGCCACACGGCTCTGCAGAGAGGCTGCGTTGCGTCGACGTTCGTTTGTGTCTAGGTGTGTGAAAACAGGCGCGCGTAAAAGTCGCAATGCGTAAACGCTCGCATGTGTACCAGCTATGGTCCCACAGCTGCACACACTGTGTCAGGATTTCAGGCCTGCACGCGTTGCGTCGAAGCCGCAGTGACTCAGTGACCAACCCCCCTGTAAGGATAGTGCTGGAGGGGTGCGGCCGGTACTGCCAGGGATGGACGTCACGCTATGGTGGGTGTGCTCCACGATGCGGTAAGATTTCGCCACGCTAGGGTATAAGGCTGAGTCGAATGGTGTTCCGCGACGCGAGGGGTTCTTTGCAGAGAGGCTGTGTTGCATCGACGCTCGTTGGTGTCGAGCAATATGGTCTGTGAACGCAGTACGCGCTGTGTCAGGCTGCCGGGTGCGCACGCGCGGCATCGAAGCTGCATTGCGCGACCTCATTGCGCAGGGTTCGTGCTGTATTGCGCAACCTCATGGCCAGCGTCGTACTGCTGTGACTGTTAAGCGCGTGACTTCACCTTATGTCCAGATTTTAGTAGCGCTGGCGACGAGGGGAGGGGACGGGGAGGGGAGTGGAGGGGAGGGGGGGGGTCGAATCAATTGATTTATCAATCATTCATCACATGGGAGGGGGGGTGAGGGGTAAGTTCCCCCAGAAGTGGCAGTTGGATAACTGGACCTGATCGAAACACCAAGTGAAGTCACACGAGTGCGTTCGGTGTGCGAGCGGCAGCGATGCACACCCTTTCAATGGCTGCGGATGCAGGTATTGGGCTACTAAGTCTTGAGCCAAATGAATTAGGTCGAAAGCGGACTGAAGAGCTACATACTAATCTATGTACAAGAACAGGTGCTACACACGTAGAGCGTAGACACGCCTAGGGGAACCTAGGACCCTACCAAACACAAAACAGACGCAAATTTTCTTCGCGTCGAAGCTTACGATCGCTAAAGTACAAAAGGTTCGCAAAAGAATGCAAATGAATTACAGAAGTTCTGTCTTCGCAGAACTAGACCGTAGATGCCATTCTGGCTCATCTAGGTTGCGTCAGATAATCTTTACAAATCTACGAAGGGCATACTTGCTGCATCGAACGTTCCGGAATATCGGAATCCTTCTTTTTCAAGTCAAATCTTTAAGTTGAAATCAAATCTATAGGGCCTTTAGTTTGATGTATCTGGGTCGTTTAAGATGTCATTTAGCTTACCGGCACTTAGCTGTGGTCTAGCCGGAATATCGGCCTTCCAGAGACTACCTACCAGTTCCTGTATCCTCGGTAACCAGGGTTCCAAGATGATGAAGAGGAACCGGCATACCACCATGAGCTTGACGCTCCCGAGGACCATGACTGGTCCCAGCCAGTTTGGCGAGCTTGTTTATTCTGCCGAGACCGTTCCTTCAAACGTTCAAGCCGCTCGGCATTCTTCTCGCCACGTTTCTCGGCGGATTGCTGGCCACAAACTCTGATCTTGTGTCGACTGGCAAGTGAAAAATTACACTGGAATGGATGGTGATAACCCAAATCACTGCTCTTCAAACACAGATCAAGATGATTCAAATGCTTAAGAAGTTCGTTAACTTTAATAGTAGTCTCTTTTTGACGAGGAGGCTGTTCATATCCAACACGTCCACGATCATCCGGAGTATCGGATGTTCTCGTCCACAACGTATGCATGTCCTTGCCGTAATTTAAGGCGATCTGTAACATACAATCGCAATCGGCATCCAGACCTTCCAAAGCGGCGAGCTGCTCGCTGGCGAGGGTTGAGACCTCCCAGTTATAGGTTATGCGCTTGCTCGCCTCACGCTTCTTGTTCACCGAAACAAGGATCTGGTCAAGGATGGTGAGGACAGCTCCGGTTCCTGGATCGGCATGTCGATCGCCCCGGAAGTTGCGGTTCGTGAACTGGTTGGCATCGCACGCGATGACGTCCACCTGGTCTGCCACGGCCGTAATTAAAATCTTCATGATGGCGTTCTTACCGGCCGTAATGCCTTGCTGAAAGGCATGGGCATTGATGTGAAAAGCGCAAACTCGAAGTTCTGGCATGTGCATGCGCTTGCAGTCGTTCAAACTCCCGGTCCGGAATATCGGACACTCGTGGAACAATGCCTCTGCATCCACCGGTTCGGCTTCAATGTAAGTGGTGGATGCTTGCGCTACAGCTAAACTGTCAGGGCAGACGATCACCTCCATGTTATCTGCTGGATCAGCGCCTTCTTCAAGGGCAACACGGAGGTTCTTTCTCACTCCACGGTCATCGGTGATGCCTCCATCTGTTGATTCTTCGACCTTTCCCCAGATCACGCGGAATGTCGCGGCATGGGCTACCCAGGCAAGGCGTTCGCCTTCGAGCTCGATTCGGCGGATGAGTTCCAATCTTGATGAACTGAGGTTATCGGTAGAACAAACTGCTGCAATTGCAGGTGATTCGCCATCCGCCACGGCCATGACACATAGGCATTGATATTGGTTAAAAAGCTCTCTGCGTCGCTCGATTCTGTTGGCCTCGAGAAGGATTGTGAGATGAGCCGTATTCCTGGCGAGATAGTGCGGAAGAACGGCGTATTGGTCTGTCTCGACGAGCTCTCTGGATAGTGGCTGCCTACCGTTGAAATGAGGCGTACGGTTGATATCGCCAAAGTTGAGGAGCAAGACGCTGACGTGTTCAGTCGATCGAAGAAGTCTTGCCTCATCGAGATCAAAGTCTCCCTGGTTTGCGCGATATCCCTGCATGTACGAACGGCTTAACTCGACAATCTGTCGCATCTCCTCGCCGGTATATCGGCGGTTGGAGTCGTAAAAGCAGCTTGGCCGAATGATTGGATATGGTGCCACGTCAGACTGTTCATCCCAGTGTTGAGCAATCGAGGGAATGGTGCGGCTTCTGTAGGTTGGATGGTTCGTGTAATGGTATTTGCTGACTCCCTCAAGCACAATGCGATCCATCGCTGCGTAACCCGTTGAGCCGCCACCGAGAACAAGATCTTAAAGAAATTTCCCTTGAATGGGGGTCTGGGAAGTGAATGGGGGTCTGAGATATGCATGGCGCGTTGAGACCTGATGTTGAGTGTTTATCTCTGGAAAAAAGATGATCATTATTAGTGGGAAGTAGTAGAAATTCAATTTTGTTGTATTTTTTCAAATTCAAAAGTCCAGGACTGCTCGCACAACAAACCAGAGATTCTGCGCATATTATTTACTCTTGTCTGTTGTTTTGGAGCAAAGCTTTGCAGCAAAGCTCTGAGTGTCACTTGTGACCATTTTTTCTTTCAGTGACACTTGCTGCCGCAAGCCGTTTTGTCGGGAAATGTGGGCGGCTGTGACAGACCTTTCGGAGTGGTGGCCTCATGGGGCAATTGCTGCTTCTCAAAGATGTTTATCATTCATATTTACTCATGTAGTAGGTTCTTGTTTGTCTGTTCAGGTCGGAACAAGAGACCATGACGAAAACCATGCCGCTGCAGAAACCTGTTGCGAAGCAGCCAATGAAGGCATTGCCTGTAATGATTCGCTCAGTATTCTGAACTCAAGTTTCCTTTTTTGTTTGGAGGCCAAGCGAGTTCGCAAGCAGTTGAAGACGGCTTCCTCACGGAAGCAATCTATGGACGACTCTTTTTTTTAGCTGCCAATACACGAACACCTTGGACATCGCGAAGCACGGAAATGCTGTGCTACCACGGTACATGACTTCTTTCGATGGTCGGAAGATGCACGTTGCGAAGGTGAGTTTGCGCCGTGCAGCACCGTTGAACCTGGTTGTGGTTGGGGCCTAATTCTCTTTGCATGTTTGGAGGAAATTCGTTTTCAATCCAAAACTGCAGGAGAACCGCTCCAACACGAAGAAGAAACAGAATGGCGCCATGGTATTTGTGGGAAAGCGCACTTTCAAGACATGGGGGACAATTCGTGGAAAACTCAGCGGTTGTTTCTATTGGTAGGCCGGGCCAGTTTTTTTGGAATGACTAGCTGATTTGAAAGGATGCTTCAGCGGGACAACAACCGCAGCCGGCGGAGACTGTAGCACCAGAGCCATTAGCGTGCATTCCTCAGACATCCTTGAAATTTAGATTAAGAGCAGCTCCTCACGTGGCCCAGGACTTGAGCAACCAGGTGAAGTTTTCGCAGGAGTATAAGAACCAGTGCCGCCTTTCCGGAGTTTCGCCTGGGCGGTACATCGCCCCGAGAACTGCGGAGTGGTTCTCAGGCCTGCCACCCACACACAGCAGTGCAATGGATTGATTTTTAAGAATGTTTTGCAGGGTTTGTGATGATAGCAGGCCTCCCAGGTGGGTGGACAGACCCTGCCCCGAACTCCGTGGACAAGGGCATCTTCAAACGTATGTTTCCACATGCGCTCAAGGCTCCATCGGTTTTCTTTGCGACATGACATGATGACGTGAAATGCCTTTAGCTTTGTATTTGCTGCGTGTGTGCCAGGATGATGGCCAGCCTTCTTGCATCAGTCTCTTCTTGGGGATTGGAGGTCTGGACCTGGCTCTGAGCAGGTTTGGGACTCGATCAAACAGACACGTTTTTTGTCTTCTTGAGCGAGTGCACTTCTTTTGAAATTCGACTCCATTGCTTGCCACTCAACTCAAAACTGTGCATATAAACATACTCCAAGAATCATATATGGTTCATAGCCAGGAATATTATCTCATATCTCAACCTCACTTTTGATCTTTCCCTTGACTTTGACATCTGGCAATGGCAACGCTGGATGACAGCGATTGCCCTCATGCTCGTACTGGAGACCAAGCAGTCGTGCGCTGCGTCGGAGTGAACCAGATTCGGTGGGCCTGGCTTGCTTTTGCTGCGAGAAGCTTGAGATTATGACAATTAAAATTAAGTCTAAATTGGGAGCATGTTGCAGGGTACCTGCTGGCACGCTAGTCACTACTCGGTGGCATGGAAAGTTGTCTCGGTCTTAGATTTCGCATGATTCCGCTATCGGGGAAACAAAAGCTGCCCAAAGCCGAAGTTGAGGTGGTATTGGTGTTGGTCTCAGAAAGCATGGCTGGAAGACAGCCCCGACTCTGAACATCAGATGCAGGAGTGTGCGCAAATATCCGTCACTCAGTGTAATTTAAGAAGAACATCAGCAAAATAAATTAGCAGTCAGCGCAAGACTTCAAATAGACATCTGTGGGCCTCAAGCGACCATTGTAAGGTTAGCAGCAGCCGTGGTGTCGACAACAGCGCCAAGAGACCGCGCGTGTTTTGAAACGAAAATCTGCGTGAAGCGAATAACACAGTAATTGGCCGTTCTTTTTGTCATTTGCGCCCCCGAAAGCTTTCCAGTCGTATTCAAGTAAAAGATCTCTTGCAGCTGGTTCATTTCTGCTCAGGTGGGTGCGCCCAGAAGTATACGCTGCTTCCTTGGATAGTTTTTGATTCGGGTCGAAGTTCAGTCGCGTTGCATTCGAGAACTTGCTATGTAGAGAACGAAGCCTTTCTGAGGTGGAAATCGATCCTTTTTGTATCAGTGTACTGGAACAACGAATGCTCGATGGCCTTTTGCCCGCCGGACGGATTGTGAATGATGTGACTGAGTATGACGCTTCGAAGAGCACGGCCTTGGGGTGTGGAGGGGGTTTTCCATGCCAGGTCCAAGTCTTAGTACAAAGTCCAAATCCAAACCCAAAACAACTTTCAGACAAGTCCGGCGCTTTTCCTAGGGCGTGTCTCGGGCTGGCTACCAAGAAGGACTTAAAGATCGCCGAACGAGTCTCATCAAGGAGGTCTTCAGGATCTTTGACAGTATTCCAGATGAACAGAGGCTGCTTCCAGTGAACCCAGTCTTGACAGCGATAACAGCAATTCTTTTTGACAACCAGAAACCCCGCGCTAACAAACTTGAAGCCAGGCAGTTCCTCTTCCTGGAGAATGTGGCGAGCATTCTCCACAAGAAGGGCAGCATGCGGCGGTTGATGAAATATATCATGAAGGCCACTCTTTGGTCGGCTTTTTTTGAAGCGAACACCAAATCCCATAAATGTGTCTGAAATGACTTGCCGTATGGAGAAACTGGTTGTTCTTTGCAGGCATGTGCAGATCGGGGCCTCCTTCTTCACTGGTCTACAACTTGCCTTTCTCAAGTGGGCTTGCCTGCCAGATCCTAAGAGCTGTTTGTAGATGAAACTGAAACTTGCTATTCATGGTATTCATATAGTTTCTGATTGCCACCTTCTGCGCTGAGTCCGAGCGGGGTCGCATCTTTTTCCTGGCCCATAAGCCCGGCTGCGACTTGTGGAAGGACATTTTGTTTTGCACGCCCTGTCTTGCAAACAACCCTGTTGGTTTCTTGCAAAGCTGTAACACCTTTTGCCAGCAAACAATTTTTGAGGACATGGATCTGAAGCCCTTGGCTGACTTTTCTGCCACAGCCTTCAACCCACTAAATTATTTGCCGATGTCTGAGTGGCTTGAGAAAAGCCAGAGTGAGAATGCACAGGCTCGATTGAAAGCTTTGGGTAATGTGGTTGTGCCCCAGTGTGGAGAGCTGGGGATGGAGTTGCTCTTGAGGTTGAAGTTGCTTTCGGAGCAGTGAAAATAGGTTCATGCTATGATTGGTATATTGTGAGCGTTTAATAGGATCAAAGGAAAAAAAGTGTCTCGTGAAAGGGTCAAAGAAAAATGGCTTCAGGTTGCTTCTCCCAATTCATTGCAGCCACGCAGAGTGTGCTTTCGCGCTTTTGGTTTTGGCCTAATTAGATTCGTGCTTTGATCTGCCAACCACGCGCGCGCAGCTTTGCAAAAAGATGCTGTTAATTTCAGCTGACCACCGAATTTCAAAGTTTGTTGACCGTCAACCCCTTCCTGCTTCCTGCTATTACATGGTTGTTTTTTGTGAGGGGTATGCCTTTAAGTTAAAGTGTTCATGGTGTTTGCCTGGACAACTGCGGAACTTGTTGATTCTGATGGCCCCAAGGATTTTTTTGGGGAGGCCTTAATTTTGGGCGTTCATGGCGTTTGTGCGGACAGCGGCAGACCTTGCGGACTCTGATTTGAGAGGGATCGACTTCCCGGACCTTCTTGCAGACGAAGATTTCTTTCTGCTCGATGATTGTGAAGACTCGCAGTTGGTGCTTTTCCCTCCTGCAGATGCGTTTTCTTTCCTTCCTCGCTTTGTCGTTGCGGTCCTTCTTGCCGAACGAGAGAAGAGGTGCTCCTTTGCTGGCTCATGTGAGCAGGCCTAAATTAAATGCTTGAGCCGCTTGGTGGTTCATTTTCAGAAGAGAAAGACTCTCTTCACTCCAAAATTCAACAATCTCAGCTGCTGTGTAATAATTAGTCAGTGTGAATGGATTGTCCATGATCTACTCACTGTAGCACTGCCAAAGTCAAAAAGACACCCGAGATGTTCGGAGGTTGGTTGAGGCAGCCTGATATCGTTTGGAAGTAAGTTAGCAGTCCGTACATGGTACAGGCCGAAAACGAGACATTGGTTTCAAAGTTTGTGTGAATCTACTTGTGCAGGCATTTTAGAAGGTCAGCATCATTCTTTCGTAGTTAGTATCCCCAATTGTTTCTAGTCATGGCCTCAGCAGCCACCACGATCTTCAATGTGTGTTTGCAGCGGCACAAGCTCAACCTGCCAAACTCTTCGGATTTCTACTTGTTGGCATTGGTGTCGACTTTTGCAGCAGTTTTGGAGTTTGCGCGGGCCATGCCACTAGAACTGAAGGATAGTTTGAAGACTCTGCAGGACTTGGGGATTTCCACCAATTTATGGGCAAGTCGTGTGCTGGGTTGTCAGCTGCTTGGCGTTCAAGACCCAAGAGCCGCTGGAGTAGAGATCAACCCTGCTGACCAGCAGGCTTATGACCGTTTCATTTCGACTTTGCAGCAAGAGTTGGAGGGCTCTGCTCTGCTGGTTGCCGCTTGGCTCATGCAACTGCCTGCGAATGAAGGCGCGCTGCACACGCAAACGCTTGCTGGCTTGGAGAGCTTTGCCCGCAAGGCTCCTACGACCGATCAGGATGCAAGAGTGATTGGGTTGCTAGTTAGCTTTGCAGAAAGAATTCAGCAACATGTAGAGCGCTGTCAAATGAATAGTGCAATGAAGTCATCGAAGTTTGCAACCTCTTAGAAGTTCCATGTGTGATTGTTACGCTGTCAGCGACAGGCTTTGAAGGAAACACTGCTGCTGTCAAGTTGTTTGGTTTCAGTCCATGGGTCATGAAAGATTATGATTGCATGGATACCGATTCAGCATGATTCAGCATCATTTTCGACTATATACGAATGCAATTTTTTTGGACAGGTGCTGTCAAGTGGAGTGGGTTGAATGCCGCTCGCTGCAGGCTTTTGGAGTCGATTTAGAGCAGGGATACCGCCAGGCACTTGAAACATGTCAGGGAAACAGTCCAGAGGTCAAACCAAATTACAAAAAAAATGTTTAATTGATGGGTTTCATTAGGGCTTTGTTCTCGTTCATCATTCCAGTGGTGATGCCGCATGTTTGCTGCGGTGTCAGCGGCGGACCTCAGCTGCAGCTCAGATGAAGGTTCGCTAGCAAAGCCGACAACTGCTAGACAGAAGCGTGCGCGAGAGAAGGCCATCCCAGCGTCAGAGAAGCGCAAAGAATGCTATCTCCGTAGTTTGCTGGCCCGGGATTGCACGTGCAAGCGGAAGTCTTGTTTCTCGCAATTTGGCAAAGATCCAGATTTCACAACGCTCCAGCACTACCGTGAAGAGTGGTTCAGTCTCTCAAAGCCAGACCAAGACACTATTGATGCTCAGTTCCTGTTAGTGTCGCGTTTTTCTATTCAAATTTTGATGTTACTGTAACTGTAGTGTAGAGCCTATAATATACTACTCATAGAAACACCAAAATTCTTGAACAATTGAGGCCTTCGACCGGATCAAGGAGCTTGCGGTCAAATCTGGAGAGGATGCGAACATTGAGTGGTCATTGCTAGGCCACGCCGTTTGCCGCAGATCTTGGAAGCGTATCCATAGCATGGGTTCCTCGGGCACCGTTACCGTTTGCTTCTGAAGGTTTTGTATGGCGCTTCGACTTGTTGATTAAATTATCACCTTCAACATAATAAGAGTCTGGGTCATTCCGAAGGTTTGGCAAACTTTGTGATTCGGTTCGAGATGGCAATTTGGCACCGCCTGTTGATTTAAGATATTTGGAACGGCCAAAGGCCAAATGCGGTGACAGCGAGTTGACTGAAGCAAGGGGGGACGTAGCTAGCTTCTTGGAAACGCTATATTGTAGCGTTGCCGAGACGCTCCCGGACTTCAAAGATGAGATTCTCACCCCAGTGGATGCAGCTTGCACTGTATCGTGTTCCTCGGACCCTTACGCTGAGGAGAAAGAGTTTCAGGCTGAAGCCTTGCTTGGTGGGAAGATCAGGAAGCCCAGGAAGCAGAAGCGGCAGGTTCAAATTAATTTGGACCGAACATCAGCCCAGTTTGAGGAGAGGTGGCTTCCGCCTTCTACTATGAAAGAGTATTACGACCAATACGCACTTCAGACCAACATGCGAAAACCAGCAGCGTTTGTCACCTTTTGGAGGGCACCTGGGTCATTGTTTGTAGTAGTTGTTTGCTTTGTTTTTAAGGCCAAGCATTTCTGGTGATAAGAATGAGTAATATCATCAAGCTGCTGAGTCTGAGGTATGGTTGTCAGACTATAATTTTCTGCACATCCGAGCCTCTTCAAATCATTCAGAATGCCAAACATGCTTGAGGCATAAGGCGATGATCCGCGCACTCAATCACCACTTACGTGCTCGAAAAGCACAACAACAACATTACTGGGAACACCTGCAAGCACAATATTGTGACCGCATGGAGTATTATCGTTGCCGCGCATTGTCGCGTGTGAGAGGAAGCGGCACGATCTGTATGATCCAAGACGGTATGGATCAAAGCAAGGTATGTGTGCCACGGGATGCTGCGTTACGAGGTAAAGACTTTAGTACGTTCCAACGACCCAAACTTCATCTGAGCCTGACGCTTTGCCACGGATATTTTACGCAGTTCATACTATCCAATCCAGATACAATGAAGGATAGCAACGCTAGTTGCGAGTCTTTGGCCTCCGCATTTGACCTTTTGCAGGGTCATCATCACACTGACCTTCGAGCGTCCCATATCATTGTGCAGGCGGATAACACTGCCCGGGAATTGAAAAATAACCAGACGATGCGATTTTGTGCTGCGCAAGTCAGTTGCGGCAACATCAAATCAATCAGCCTGCAGTTCTTGAGAGCAGGGCACAGCCACGAAGACATTGACCAAGTTTTCGGCAGAGTGGCGCGACACCTATCTAGAGCGAGAAAGATTCAGAATCCTGAAGAGATCATGGAGCAGCTGCGTACTTTCAGCGAGAAATTGAACCGGCAACATGAACCTGCGCACTACAATTTCAAAATGGACGCAACCAGAGATTGGCCGTTTTTCATCATTAGCAGCAGACGTTTGGTTTGTGCTGTAAGTACTCGGAAGTTTGAACACGTTCAAACCATCCGTCAATTCATTTTGACATTTTAATGGCTGCTTCATCCAATCTCAGGAAAGGATGGACTGGCATTGGTGTTCCTGTTGAAGTCACTGGGATTGGCGGGCCAGGTGCCCCACACACGTTCGTGTTTGAGAGAAGGGAGGACGTGCAGCTGCAAGATGGTGAGGTGATTGATAACAAGATCTGGGGGTTTGACCCTCACCCGCATGATGTCATTCTGAGGAGCGGGTGTTTTTCTTGTCCCAACCTAGCGGGCGCCAATTGTTATCTATTCCCACTACATGCGTTCGTGTCCAAGTTTCTGTGGTGTTTGTCATATTGTTCAAAACGCCGCTCGTTTGTAACAAGTATGTCTGCAAGGATTTTTCGTTAAAAGAGCGCGCAAGGAGTAAGCGGTGGATGGCCAGCACCAGCTACACACATTGTTGCCTTTACTACCCACGGCGCCTTGCCATGGAGCGGTTACCTTTGGGCATTCCTCCAGGTGGTTGGGGACGATTATTTTTGCAAACCTTGTTATTACAAACGTTTTTCCAAAAGTAGGGTGGAGACGGATGAAAAACACTGTATTTGCGACCCTGCAGTCGTCAGTGAGAAGAGAGATGTGGGAGATGATTATCGGGCGCACATTGAGAAGCACATCAAGCTGCTGAGATTGCCGCTTTATCAGTTGGAGCGAGCAGCGGATTGGCTGGATGCTTGGGTGCACGGCTACCTGGAGCCAGCTCCCCTTTTGAGAACCAACGCGCGCCTAGTTTGTGTTTTAGCATATGTTTTTACAGTACCCGTTAACTTCAGAAGCGCAGAAAAATAGATGAGAATGAATCGGACATTACTTGGTTTCGACAGGTGCATGGTCCAATGTGGCCCTGTCGGTCAACAAGCTCGCGCTCCAGGTCCAAAAGCAGATCCCTTTGACATTACCCCCACCGTGTTGAGGCAGGTTTCTTTTGAAAGCGTGGTTCGGTTCGGTTCGGTTCACGTGGTTCGGTTCGGTTCGGTTCACCTGGTTCGGCTCGCTTCGGTTTTTGATGTGATGATAATCACTTTGAACTTAGTTCCGGACAACGTGTTTTTGAGCAAAAATTTTCTTGCGTCTTTCGACTTAGCTCCGATTTCAGCGGTGTTCTGTTTGATACACCCACAGGCTCAAGGTGTACAACAAGAAGAAAGAGGCGAGCGCTTATGCTTCCAGGGCACAGCGCTCCATCGTTCTGCAATGCGCGTCGCGAGCTTGGGCTCACGGAGTCCCCTGGGCGCAAGCTTTGGAGATCTCTGAAGCGGCTATAGGAAGTCAAGCCTTACCTTTGCCAAAAGCTTTGCCCAAAAAGCGAAAAGGCAGAGATTAGTCACAGCTGAATGTATGTGGCTTTTGAGATTAGTCATGCGCTGTAAATGGCAGCATTTGCGGGCCGAAAACTGCCTGAGGGCATGGTGGATTTGGAAGGGCAAGTCTTTTAAACATAAAAGCATCGTAAGTCTAAACCCTAAACGTAGTCAGCCTGGAATTTTGGGTGCGGCATGGTAAGTTACGATCAGTCACTTCTGAGTGTGTAATTGGTCACTCACAGCTGTGTTGCTAAGTGTACCCTAGCAGTGACGGATCCCACCTCACATCGGTCACTAGATGGCGATCTATTTTTGGTTTTGGCAATTTCAGTCAAAATTTTCCCATATGGAAAATTCACCGGCATACCTGTTTGAGACTGATCCAAGGTCTGATTGGTCACTCCCGGGGTGGGTGCCCCAACAGCCACCGTAGTGACGGATTTGAGTGGTGGGTTTTGGGGTTTTAGGGTTTTGAGACGGATCACGGCCCGATCGGTCTCAAAAGCAGGTATCTTCACAGTGACAGTGGGTTTCTTGACCTGTGTTTGAGACGGATTTTGGTGGTATTGAGACGGATTTCTGTTGAGACGGATTCCTGGTGGTGGTTTTGAGACGGATTCCGGGTGGTTTTGAGACGGATTTGTTTTGAGACGGGTGTGTTTTGAGATGGTCTTTTTTCACAGTTTTGTGGTTTTACACGAGTTTCATTGGACGGATCCTGGTGGTTGCGATTTTTACATAGTAGTTTTGCATGGTTTTTGTTCGTCAGTCTCATTTTACGAGCAAGAATTCTCACAGCGCTATTATGCGGTTTTATGGGAGGAAGTCGAGGGTTGCTTCGGACTGGCCTCTGCAAGAACTGCTCCGAGACGGACTTGGTTGGACACAATGTGATGGGATACCTACGACTCGACTGGATCGTTTCAAAATCCGAGGTCTCTCTCATTATATAACTAGACTAGTGTCCTTGGAAGAGGAAGCCACTAACCGTAACATAGTCTGGCTGGGACTTTCTATGGCATTTAGCTGTTACGACCGTTGTGAATGTTCGCAGTTGGTGGGATCACAGGATTGCTGAAGGTTTTGCAGTCCCATGTCTCCGAAGCGCAAATCTGGTGGCGGCGCCGATGCTGATGGGTCTAAGTCTAAGGCCAAGAAAACTGCAGCGATAGATCCGCAGATTTTGGAAGAGCAGCCTTACATTCCGAAGGTGGTTGAATGGTTCCTTGATTGTTGAAGTCATATTGAGAGTTTAGTTTTCTTTAAGATCTTCGAATCTTCAAAAACCAGTAGTCACCCAGAGATCTATTTTCTTCGAATCTTTAAGATCTATTGAGTAGTTGGTCATGAGGTAGCAGTCGAAAGATGTTTGTCACCCAGGCTCGAGAAAACAGTATTTCCTTCTGGAGGTCCAGATCGATATTTGACCAACATGTACGATGACCAGGCACGCGCGCTGAATTTTGAAACAAATTTACCACAATGCTGCTCGGAAAGGCAAAGATGTTGGACTTCGCAGAGTGGATTGATCGTTTCGCAGTGGCTAAGAGTGGGTGAGGAACTCAGATTCATCTTGAGGCCCATTCTTATTTTCAGAGAACTTATGATTCTTCACAAGGATTCAATATGCTGAGAGTTACGACTCCGCTGGATTCCTGCGACCCTGGCAGCTCGCTTGGAGATCCGACTTCGGATGCTCAGGGTTCATTGAGCCAGAGCAAGCCTCAATGTTATGCGAGCTGTACTTCTCTGAGGGGTTGCCCGTCTTGGATGTTTTTGAATGATGATATGATTTGTGTCAAGCCTTTTTTGCGACGTTCGATTTCTTGATTTCTCATTGTATTGTTTGGCCGGCTAAGATTCTTGACAGACCCCAACATTCCTGGAGTCGAGAAAATAGCAGCCAGTAGGGTTCAGAAGGAGTTTTTGGACAAGGTCTACGAAGAGCTACCATCTGCCATTGGAGGTGTCCGATGTTTTCCTCCTATGTCGGTTTTTTCCTCGCGCCATTTCATATGCAATGCGTGTAGGTTGAGGCCATGATCACGCTACTAGTCTCTAATTTCTTTCCAGTCTCATGGCAGGCGGAGCTTTATTACCCCCGTTCTCCATCGGATACTGCAAGGGATGGAAGAGGTCCATCATTCTACTCCTGTGCCTCCAAGCTGTCCGCGAACTCAATTTGCAGGACCAAGTGCCGCACAGAATCAAGGCGACTTCGAATAATTTGTTTGATGCGCAGACAATCACGCATGTACGCACCCTTGGTTGGGATATTCTGAGTAGTAGCCGATGGGTTCAGGTGTCTTTCGGCACGATCCACGCGAGTTTCTCTACCTTCAAGGACATCCGGGCCCAGGTCTACGCCAACAGAGGCCTGCTTAGATTTGTCAATTGGAGTTACGACTTTCTGGATTCGAGTTAGAATCCAAGAGAGGTCAAGAGGACACAAAATACAGTAAATAGTACCAATTAACTGTGATATAATATTTTGCCCTATTTATTTTGTGTCCCCTCGACCTTTGTTGGATCATTCGCAATCATTCGAACCACTTCCACTGAATTGCTTGGAAGCCTTCCTGCATCGATTTAGTCATAACAAAAAGAAACAAACCCTCACTTGTGAAAGTTTTTGGCAGGAGCTGGACTCGTGGCCACTGCAACGAAGTGGAAGCCGAATGCGTTCCATTTCTGCAGGCAGGTTGCGATTTTGCAGCGAGCTGGTGGGGGTAACAGCGAGCGCCAATTCTCTGAGCCTTGAAGATACAAAGTGATTCTTGAATTCGGGTTCAAAACTGTCGTTGGTGGGCCTCATCACATGCGCAAAGAGGCTTGTCCCTGGGAGCTCATCAATGTCTACTTGCCAGGGTATTTTTCTCCTACTATTTAAAGCTCCTATGACTTCACCATCTTTTGAATGCCTAGTGCTTTCACTGGATGCCCTGATTGCCTTGACTCCACCCCAAGATTTTTCAACTGTGCCACTCCGCATGCTGCTTGCCACCTGTTGTTGAATAGGCGCCTCTCGCTTATTGGGCTTGTGGTCTTTATTCTGGTTTTGAAAACCGCTGATGCTTATAATATGTGGGTACATATTAACATTCAGGAGCGCTGTAGCTGTTGGCACGATTTTCCAGATGAGTTTCCAATTTGGTGTTGAACTTTGTATTGATGGGGATGGGAGAGAGTATTACTATTATTATGAAAATCATTCCTAGGGAGATTCGTCAATTCTGATTTCTTTTGATGTCAGGAATGGACCCAAACCACGCAGATTTGCAGGGCTTTCCAGATTGGCCAACGTGAAGCTGAAGCTGTCAGCGCCCTCATGTCGAAGATTGCAGCGGAGATAGCCGAGGCCTTGACCAATGCCGTTCGCTCTCGTGGCATGGCGCGCTTTATCACCCACGAGGTGATTGGAAAGGGCGTTTTTTGCCCTGCTTGGACATCAGGCATGGGCGCTACCGAGGAGTGGAAGGACATCTTGACCAATACGCAGGACAATGAGATTGCCGCTATTACTTCACTAACTGACAGCTTTTCTTTTCCTGTTTCATTGTGCTTCCTAGACTTGTCCTTTTCGTCATTTTCTCCTTCCCTCTTGAGGGTTTTAAAGAATAAACAGGAACGTGCATTGACTTTGTAAGAACCATTTATATGGTGATTTTGCGCAATACATAGACATGGTTTGTCAAAGATGTAAAATATACAATTCTTTTACGGACACATACGACACATACTATATATTTGGAGACGGTGTGGATATGCAGCAGTTGTGATTACTTTTTGTCAATCTCAGGTTCGGCTTTTGGTGAAGCGGCTTGTGACAGACTTTGACACCACAGCGCCAGGTCTTAGACAGGCTGTGAATTTGAAGCAAGCTATCCAAAAGCACGCGGCCTGTGGCGCGTTCCTTCATTTCCTCAAAATGTTGGAGAAGATCTCACCAGCGGGCACATTCCAAGAGAGCCAGGAATCCTTGATGTCTCAATTCCTTCAAGGTTTCCTGGACCCCGACATTTCGCATGTATTAGAGACGACGGTCCCCCCGGGTGACATGAAGAGCATATCCGCCTTCAGGCGCAGTCAAGTACAATAATATGTTTTCTGAAGCTGAGTCAAGTACTTACTGCAAGTATCTTGTTCTAAGGGCTTCACCTTGCGATGGTTGAAGGTTCAATACCTGAACAAATTTCAGTAGGCCGCCATTTGTCAGGCCATTCGTGTCCAAGATTGAGATGGCAAGCCGCAACGAAAAAGAGGAGAAGGAAGCCCAGCTGGCGAAGAATGTGAGGCAGGCTGACCTCCAACAGATCCTTGCCAGGTTGGGCAATGATTTGGATTTGCTCAAAGCCCGCGCTGCCAATGCTCCCTCCGAAGCTGTCGAAAATGCTCTGGACATGAAATATTTGCGCGATCGGCAAGAGTTCCTAAGTTGGTCTCGATCATTTTTCTGTTTGTCAGGATTGTCGAGATTGTGTGGTTTGGTTTCATTTCGGTTTCGATTCTTGAGTGTTGTGTTTCACTGCGCTGTTCTGTTGCAGCACAGGAAAGGCAAGGCCTTTGTTGATCAATGGATGGCCAAGCATTGCGTCATTGTGGAGCCGGGTGATCACTTTGAGAACATGATCCCGGCCTACCTGAAATTCAAGGATCAGTTCCGGAAGGACGAAGGTCAGGAGTGACTTGGATAGTAGCGGTCAACTTTCTGCCAACCCACTTCACATGTTGAAGACTCGAATTTTTATTTCGGCGCCCTCTTCCAATGGTTCGTGTTTAACTCAAGACTGGTGGAGGAGTGCATAGTGTGACGGGTCCATTAGAAAGCCATCATTCTTTTGAGGTATGTTTTGGCATCCTTGGATTGCACGGTGTTCCCTGCCAACGGGAATTACGTAGCTGGTGCAGTGAAGACTTTGGCCACGATTCTTTCGATGGGTGCGAATCATATGGGCTTTTTGCAGTTTCCAGTTTGCCAGAGCCAGACCTCACCCACAGCCATGCTAAAACACCGACATCACTTGGAGAATGCCTTTGTGAAGGCTGGCCTGACTATAGTCAATTCGCTGCAAGTGCTTTACAGCAAGGATGGTGCTACAGCCCGTGACACCCGATCTCTTTGGCAGTCAGGGCAAGCAACCTTTCACACCCACTTTCAAGACCATGCCTTCCAAGAGAGCTCGGCGGTGGTGCAAGGCAAGCTCGGGCCTTGCCCGCTTGCTCGCATTTCTGAGTTTTTGGGCTACGATGATGCTCAGAGACCCGGAGCCAGCGCTCGTGTTGAACAGAACCTCGACTATTCATTGGCTCCGTTTTCCCTTTTATACTTTTGCATTGAAAATACGCATGTATTCGGGCTCAGGGAGAATCGTTGTCATCACCAAGGAAAGGACTGGCGTGTCACCGCTATGATAGATGGGTTGCTGAGCGGCATGCCCCTCCAGGATGGAAGCACGGTGATTTTTGTGGATGTCATCCCGAACAGGCTGGGATAAAGGTTCCAAATTAATTTTTCAACTTTTCAATCCAGCATTCAATAATCATAGGGGCTTTGAAGGTTGCTGAATCATGAAAGCCCTTGAGCCCTTAACCTGGCAGGTTTGCAGAGTTCGCCCGTGCTTGCTGCAAAAGGAACCTCGATCAGACCGGGTCTCGCGTTCACTATTTTGGCTTCATGAATGAGGAAGTTGCCGCGAATAGAGCAGCTATTCGTTCTTGGGTGTATGAGAAATGGGACGCTGACCCGGAGAGTCCGCCAAAGACCCGGCCGTCCAGAGAAGCTGTTGCGGAAGAGGCGCCAAAGTTTGAAGTGCTTGCTTGGACGAGTGGTGGGCCTGTCTGGCCAGGCTGCTTGACTCAGCGTTTTCCTGAAGGCTCTGACGAGTTCAACATCCTGGAGGCCAAGAAAGCAGAGTTCCTCATTGCGTATCCCCAATCCAGGGCGGATCAGCAATCTGTTCCTTTGGGAACAGCAAGGCGAGCTGGGGGTGTGTGCGATTTCTCTTTGGATGGTGCTCGGGAGCCGCTGGATGTGACGCGCATGATCGAACTGCCAACCATCAAAAAGGAGGAACTTCAGTGTGACAGGCCAGAATCAGGGCTTGGTGTTTAGTAGATAGACAGCGTACAGTCAATGTCAACCTTTAATCATTAATCCAAACCTAACCAAGCCCAGCGTTCTTCCGCAAGCACAGGCTGGGCGAAGCTGCAGCTGCCAGCAAGAAGCCTTCCGTTGTGATTGGCTCTGACTTCAGCATCTGGATTGGAAACCCTCACGATTCTGAGATGATCCTGAACGCCAGCGAACTTTTTGGTTTCGGGACTGGGGCGTATGAAGCCAAAGTGATCAGCCAGATCCTTAATTGGAAGAGCCGTTGGATTAAATCGCAAACCACGTGTTTTGTGTCAACTAAAAGAACACATTAAAGAACACAGGTTGTAGGTTGCAGGTTGGTTTTGAATCATGTTCAAAAAACACGTAACTCAAAGCTTATCCAAACCAAATCGCTAAATTCTCGGCAAAATCATGCTGGACGAGTTGTTTTTAGCAGTGACATCAGTAGAAGCAGGCAGCTGGCTCTACCCGGAGTCAGTTACCATTGACACAACGGTTCAGAATCGCTTCTACTCGAACAACACTGCCTCACACGATTGTTCTGCGAGCTTTCGTTTTATCTCTTGTTTGGGATGCCTTTGATTCAAGCCTACTTCGCAATAATTTACAAACCCAGGCGATGTCAAGGATGAGAAGCATGGAGTGGTATGGCGCCTGGCCGACGATTTCTCCATCATCTCCTACAACAAGACCTTGTATCCTTTGTGCCAATTTCTTCGGAAGCTGGCTGTGGAGAATGGATTGGGTGAGGTGGCGCTTGTGGACCATACACTCAATGCCCGCGTGACAAATGCCACCTGGCTTGCAGTTCGATATGGACCGCTAACAAACCACTGAAAAGGTTTTTAAATACTGCAGATTGCAATCTATGATTTCCAGCGCCCAGATATAACTAGCTAGCATTGTCCAAACTCAATGTTTAGGATGGTGGCACGGAGACACCAACGTGCTTCCGGTATTGCGTGTCGCCTGTGGAGAGCAAGAAAGCCAATGTATTCAAGCCGAACCCAATCCAGAATGCTTCAGAGACCACCATGCGCCACGCGAGCTTGGGAGCGGTCTTCTTGGGCAACATGGACCGCATCATTTGCAACAAGCGGGCTTCTGTGGTTTGGGAGGCTGCAGGGCTTATTACACGACGTGTTCAAACAAACTTTTGTATTCAAATTGAATTGATGCACAGAATCATAGAGCCCGGCTACTGGTATGTCTGATTCATTTAGCAGGTGAACTTCGAAGCATCGCCTGGTAAGCTGTTTGGCATCAAGCCCAAAGTCTACCTGACTTGCAGCCTGCGGTTGCCGAAGATGTCGTGGTGCAACCTGTCTGCCTGAGTGAATGCCTTGTCAACCTGAGCGCCGCAGAATAGATTTGCTGTGCAAATTTGGAGACCGGGCTGAGATTTGAAGGTGCAAGATGCACTCTCAAACGTCATTGTCAAATGTTTTGCGCTTTGGTCCAGTCCGGTTGTTTTGCGAATGGGCCGGCAGTTCTAAGACCTTGTGAGGATTTCGGGAACAGTGAGAAACAAAGTTTGCTTAATACTATTAAATCTTTGACCGTGTTCACACGGAATGCGCCGGCTGAATTGAACCTGACGCATGTGTGCTGGTGATTTTGATTCACTTCATTCTCTTTCATTGAAGTCAATCTGTGAATTTGTAGCTCGATTTACAAGGAACGTACGGTCTGTCAGCATCCGTTCGAACTTCGAAGCATGGCAGTCTTTCAGAGTGTCGATGAGCTGAGCGATGATGAACCCCTGCCTGTGCAGCAGGCCAGATCTTCTTGGAGCTTTAGAGCTTGCAAGTCTTGAAAACGAGTTACATAGCTTAAACTTAATGATGGTGTGCCATGAGGCCCCAAAGGCGAAAGCGAAGACTTTGCCTAAGCTGAAGCCGAAGCCACAGGTTCCAACCGCGAAGCCTGTTACCAAGCCGAAGCCGAAGCCCAAGCCTGCAACCGAGCCGAAGTCTGAACATGTTACTCACCCGAAGCCTGAGCAGGAGGAAACCAATGTGGAGCCGCGGTGCATGAAGCGGCCCGCGGCTCTGAAGCGGCCCTCTGCTGCTGGAAAGTCAGAGACATCCAAGAAGTTCGCAAAGCGAGCTGTTGTTGAAGGCTCCTAGACTCTAGACGCGAACTCTACTTTAAAAAGTAAGACTGACTGTTTATCAGATCTCTCTTCGCAATTTTTGCTGATCAGGCCCGAACGGACCTATGAAGATATCGGTGCCATCCTTTTACAAGAACTCCAATATTTGGACCATCAAAGTTGATGGGAAGGAAGTTGTCCGAGCTTCGCAGCTGAATGCGCGACTATTGAAAGTTAGAATCTTCCATTTTTCTCATCGCGTATCAGCTCAGGCTGGTGGAAAAATCTACAACCTGGAGAAGACCAAGGAGATCATTGATGCAGCCTATGCCAGTTTGGTTGCTGGCGAACCGCTGGAGACTGTCCAAGCTCAAACAGTATCTAGCCGGCGCGCAGTCAAAGGTTCCTTTAAATCCTTAAATTTTTCCTTAATCCAAATCAAACACATTTTAGTCAGCATCCTTTTCGGAGTGCAGTGAATAGTGACTGGTGTTTGCCACTAGCCTTTATGGTTGTAGAGTCCGTTCCAATTTTTTTTTTGGGGGGGTGACCGGAGTTAAAATTTTGAACGCAATCTGAGTGGCAGTGAGGCAGCGATGCAGCGCGCTCTGAAGGAGGCTTTGTCCACGGATGCTGGTTCTGGAGGGAGCGCTGCTGTCGATAGCGCCGCCTTGGTCGATACCGCCGCTAATGAAGGAGGCGCCGATGGAGGCGCCGATGGCGCCGATGGAGGCGATGCTGCAGATGATGCAGCAGGTGATGAAGGTGAAGAGTCCGAGAAAGAGGTTGTTGATGAAGAGGTTGCTGACGTAGACTAAAAGTCTTTTAGGCCCTAGACTGTACACTACTCTTGGTTCACCCCGGGAACGCACTTTTCGAGCTTCAGTGTACGGCGTGAAAAGTCGCGACTCTGAGACTTCGAGGCCTACGAACGTTCACAGTTCAGAGTAACCTGAAAGCAGAACAACCATGGAACCAATAATAGTTGCAAAATTGCGAGCAGTCCTGTGATTTTTTTGGTTTTGGTGGACAGATTTTAAAGCCAAAGAACACAATTCAAATTCAAAATGTTCATATATTGTGCGGCAAAGATAAAAATAGGGGTGAGGGCGCCTTACAATAAACATGTGTTCACAATGATCATGTTCACAATGATCAAAAGTGAGGAGCGTTGATCCTTTTCGGGAACATTGGTATGTGGAGTATGGTAAGCGGAGCCAAAGTCGGCCAAAGAATGTCTGAAACCCCCATTCACTTCCCAGACCCCCATTAAGGGAAATAAATTTTCTTTCATTTCTTGCAAACGGTGCAATCGACCGGCATATCGGTCGTACCGGGCGCCATCCCTCGGATTCGGCTGCGAAGGGAATCGTGAAATCGATTTCGGCTGTGACCTCTTCGCGCTCGTGCTCACCCAGCGGTGCCGGAATATCGGCGTCTGGGACTGTTGAACAGAGATAAATACTATTGCATGAGCAATGGTTGCTGAGCAGTCAAGGCATGTTCCATGACTACATGCTCTGCAGAAGAAAAGTACGTCAGCGGCGGAGCAGGTAAAGCAGGTCATTTTCTCTGGACGGTGGAAGTACTTTGTTGGAGTACTCTGTGCTTTCCTTGCGTCGCTGATGACCTCCCGCGCACGGGAGGTCGCACGCTTCTTGGGCCTTGGCTCGATGTACTTCGTTTCCGGCATATCGGAAAACGAAACTCTGCGGCCAGATGGCGTGCGGGTCATTCCCGGTGTACGGTCAGCCTTCTTAAGGACTGCGAGTTGGCGTGCGTGACCTTGCCCGGGAGGACCAGACCCTTGTACTTGATGCTTCTTCTTTCTTGACTGCTGACGATGCTGAGGCTGCTGCTGAAGGATCGTCCGGCATATCGGACTCTTCCTTTTTCACAGTGCCTTTCTTGACCCAGGTTCCTTTCTGGCATGCTTCTGCGAGGTCGTCCACCATGGCTTCATCTAATGTACTTATGACCTGAACATCATCATCGTCGTCTGCCGGAATGTCGGCATCGACCTCCATGTCGTCGTCATCATCGATATCAATCAGGTCATCTCCCTCTTCCTCAGTCGTTTCCGACAATGAGCGTTTCTTGAGACGACGCATGTTGGTGGCTTCATCCTTCCAGTCGTCGTCGAGGGAGAGAAAATTCAGCCATGTCTCAGTGTGGATCTTGGGCACGCCGTGGAGCTGATGGCGATCAAGTTTCTCCTCGGCCTCATTGCGCCATGCCTCGACCTCGCGAATCTTAATATTCTTAAATGCAAGCCTCCTTGTTTC